AAACCCAAACCAACCGACCAAACACATCCTGAAGCAAGCACACCAGAATTCAGTGTTCCTCCTACAGAAGAAAACATCCCAAAGACCCGGTCCGGACGGACCATAAGAAAACCAAAAAGATTTGGCGAATGACTTTTGCGTGGGAAAAAGAGATGTAATAATATTGTTTTGTAAGTCCGAATAAACGGGGCAAGTAGGGGGACAAAAGAGGAAGAAGGGGACACAGCGCCCAGGGGATCTCAAAACGTTCTACACGTAGTGTTGCTTGTTACCCGGTACGACCGGTACAATCAGGTAAATACTACCACAGTGCATGCTACGACTGTAGGTGCACGCGTCGCACGTGCTTGTGTCTGCAGTAGTAACCATTCTAAAGCAAAAAGTATAAATAAAATTTGCCTTGCTCGCGCGTTCGTCAAAGCCTTATTATAATTTTTTACTTCATATCTTTTATAAGAGGAAGGCCAGCGCGGCGTGAACCGTAGAATCACACTTCCAGCGTTCTCCTCGCGATGCTTGGATAATTTAGAAAAAAGTATGTCGGGACGCTGTCTGCTTTTGTGTGCTATCAACAATCCGCTTTCCAAAGACGCTGCCATGCCGACAATTATCGCGTTTATTTAGGCTTAGGAGTGCCCAGACTCGAAACACTATCTAAAAAATGCGGCGAGGTGATTGCCCATGCTTTGCAGTTTAAGTGAGGTAAGGCAAAGCGAAAGCCTCCTGCATTATTCGTTGCTGACTAACACGCCCGATATTGCAACCACAACGACGTATTAGTTCCAAAGCGAGCGGCGCTCACTCACTGGGGCACCGCCATGTTTCCCCGCATCCCTACCGAGCCAGTCACGTGATCTCAAATTCCCTCTCCTAGGTACTGCGGCTAACTTTAGCCGCGGTTAGCGCTTCGAGCAAACGGGCCCTGAAGTTACCAAATGCAGGCAGACAAAAGCTACCGAAGCGTCAAAGGGTCGATACTGCCTTACCACTTCTTTCTGTTCGAAGTAGGAAAGGTGATTTGATTTGGCGATTTCAAATATTCTGCAGAGATGCATTTAAAAAGTTTACATATTTTAAATGCAGAAGAAACATACGTCAGTTCGTCGATTTTGTTTTAATTCCGACATTCGCTTTGCGTATCAAGTTGTGGAGGCTGATTTATACCGTAATAAAACAAACATTGCGAAAATTTCTTCAGCGAAGCTAAAAACAGAACAAGCTTTTTGGTAGTAGCGCGTCACACGTTTCCATTTGGAAGTTGTGAAAGTCTCGCGATGAAGATTCTTTGTTTGAGGCAAACCAATTACATTCTTGATTCAGTATTTTATGAAATAGAAGCGAATGTATTAGTCAAGAACTCGCACACATTTTACTATGGTGTTCGTCGATTGCACGTCTTGGCTGCGATGAGCCCTTGGTCGGCTCTTACTGTTGTGCGGCGAAGAAAATCTCACTGGAGAAAAGTTTGCCGGTGAAATGCTCACCGCAAAACCAACAAACGCGGAGAAATGCTCAGTTACGAAATAATTTATTCAATATTTAAATTTTAATATTCTCGGCATTGTTCGCACTGCGGTGTTTATATTTAAAACTCACGTCCGCACTTTGCTCACCACTCATGCTGCGCTTTTTGCGTGTTCGTATAGTTGTAAAATCAAGTGTTCTTGTTCAGTCCAAGAAGAATAGCTTACTTTCTAAGACAAATGGGGAAGGGGCAGACGAATCCACAGTTTTGTCGAATGCGAACAATAAAAAAGTGGGGAACTAGTTGTTGTTTTTTTTTTTTGTTATCATTTACATGGAGACAGGACATTGCCTCAAAGTTGAGTATTACGAACAGCAACAATGTGACCTCCGTCTCGGCACCCGACGACTCCTGGCCTCCCAGAAAGTATCAAGTCCGTATTAGGCCACATCACCGAAAGTGGTCATTGTTTACTACGAAGCAAAAGAAAAACGGAACATAATATTACCGCGTGCGCAGTTGGCCAGGTAGGCAGCGCGCTCGTGGCCTAACGGTTACCGTGCTCGCCTTCCACGCAAATGGGCAATGTTCAATGCCTGGCCACGGATACACTTTGTTATTGTGTCTGTAAGGTTGCGTTCTGGTAAGTTCTAGAACCTTGTTGCTTATTCGAGGTTAGCTGGTTCTACTGCCGAACCTTCTACACCGATTGTTCCAGAAGCCCATGCATGTACATAAGGGGCTCCGCGTGTCGAGCCGCAATCAGTCTCGATCCTGCTGTTTCGCCGACATCGACGCCTGCGACGCTAACCTTCTATTTTGTTCACCCGATTAAACTTTTAGTTTCTAAAGTTATTCATCGAGGCGGTGAATAACTTTAAAAACTCAGTTTCTTTGCATCCAAAAGATAAATATATTGTCACGAATGACAACTGATGAGGCATCAGTTGTCATTCGTGACAATATATTTATCTTTTGGATGCAAAGAAAAACACTATTTACAAAAACGAGAAACGATCTGGCCAGAAAGCATAATGTTCGATAAAACGGCGTTCTACTAAACGGCTTTGATGGAATTGGGTTCAAATAAATGGTGTTGAAATAAATATCTTCGAAAGAACAGAGTTCGATAAAATATCGAGAGCTGCGAAGAAATAATGTTAGATCGGTTTGTAAAGGTGAGCTTTTCTTCGCGTGTATCAAAAGTTTGGTGAGCTCTTCACCGCATTCGCCGGATTTCTGTGAGCTTTTCTCCGCCGGAGAACAGCGCAACACCGAGAAGCTCACGGGAGAAAAGCTCACCGCAAAACTGACAGGTGCTGAGATATATCCACGCAAGAATTATACGGTCAAGCTTTTAAATTTAGTATTTGCGGCTCAACTCTGGGGGCCCTGCGGGGAACACAAACGGAGATATATACACAATTCGTATATCACAGACACCAATTGAAGCGAAGAAGCAGAAGTCCACAGTTATGCAGGATGGGAAAAATTAACGAAGTGATAGGCTCTGTCCGGGTACACATAACAGATTCCGAGAGAGGGGGGCCTCCCTTCTTTTCGTCTTCTTGAAAGGTTTGGCGGAATGCACGATTTATGAGTTGAGGAGGAACGCTAGACAGGAAAAAGTTGGAAAAGCGTTTCATGGCCCCTTTAGATATGATTGCAGAGCCCCTTTAACGAGAGCGCGCGCTCGGCCGCCACCTCAGCAGTAGCGATACGTGACCGCCCTCTTTTCTTTCAAAATCATAGAGAAAAAAAAAAAAACGAAAATTATGACAGTTGTGATTGGAACATCCAACCGCACAACAACCGACCACTTTCTCATCAGAAAACCTAAAAATAAGGGTGCGTACGCAGGATACCATGCGGCCCTGCATGCGCGCGCACTGACCTGGGACAGGACCGCGCCGTTGCCCGGCGTTTTCCGTTGCTAGGCGGTTGCTAGGCCTGACGTCCGGTCTATGGGAGGAGTTTGGGAGAAGCGAAGGTACGGTCCCACGTGCTCCGAGCTGGTGTGCGCTAGCCCACTCGGCCACTGATCCCCTCTACGGGAGCTAGAGTTGCGCGTCTATTTTCCACATGCCGCCGCGCCGCAATTCGCTGAGATTCGATCACGTGAGAAGCAGACTCAAATGGCGTGCAGGAAAGTAGACGTTGCACCTGACCCGCGGGCAAAATGTAAAAAAAAAAAAAAAAAAAAAAAAAATTTGAAGTTTTTTTTAAAGTTTATGTTGGCAAAGCTGCAAGTCTTCGAACCTCATAAATGCAGATCTCCACAGCCTCTATCTACTACGAGGATTCATCTTAAAAGAAAAGTTACAAAAGATGACAAAATATGTAGACTCTTTTCACGTAATATGTTTTATAACTCAGTTGTTGTTCTTGCTGTCGTCTGTTTTGCCACTGTAGGGGGCCGGAGACCCGTCAAGCTGTTCCTTTGCAGCTTTTTTTTTTTTTTTTTTTTTTTTTCCGGCCTGCTTTTCATCATGGATGTGAAATCAAACTATTATTAAATTGAAGGAGGTCAGAGCGCACGCGGGGACCCGAGAGCCGAGCACCGACTGGAATGATTCGAGGGTGGACGCAAAGCTGCCTTTGTCTCTAGTCTCTTTGAACGCGTTTGAACGTTGAACACTGGCATCCAGCTTTTGGCGTTCAGAGTGAAAAGACAAAGGCAGCTAGTTTTGCGTCTACCTACTAACCATTCCCGTCAGAGCTTGCCTTTCTGGCGTTCCCGCGCACTTTGATCTTGTCTTCCTCAATGTCAGCCTGCAGACTCTCCCTCCAAACAGGACACTAGAAAACCCGCGACTCCGACAAATCGTGAAAATTGAAGCGGACGCTTCTATTTTTACGGTCTGTCGGAGTCGTGAAAATGTTTGCAGGAGTCGTGAAAATTTTTACGATCACGACTGCTCTCCTCTTCAGATTGACGTCACACGCCACCTGCGTCTGTCTCGCCTCGCCAACGCCCTCGCGTACCGCCGTCGCCTCGGCTCGAAGGCCAAGGAGGTCCGGCTTTGGGTGGATTTGGGACATTCCTGCGTCGAAGGGTGCGTTTCGCCCGCCTCGGATCTGCTTTCTTTGTCGAGATTCACTTTCGTCGTGATGGCGTCCGATGCGGTTCCGTATTGTGAGCGGAGGCCTTGAGCAATTGACTGACAGCCAACAGAGCGTGTGAGTGGCTCTCCGGACCCACGTGATGAGCAGAGCAAGGCCGCCGTGGAGGAAGCGAGGGGGAGATTTGACGGAAGGAAGTTTCCCCCCGGGAAGAATTGACGGAGGGAAATTTCCCTCCGACGGCCGGAAGCGGATCGCGGCAGAGCGCGGCACGATTTGCCGGAGTCGCGGGTTTTGTAGTGTCCTGTTTGGACACCCCTTTAGTAGTAAGGCTCTTCAGGGCTCCTTGTACCTCATACGACACACATTGAATGATTCAATAAGTTCAAAAATTAATTTAAAAAAAGTTTACATTGTACTTCTGTTTAAAAGCAGGGCACTCGTGCAGTGTGTGCAAGAAGTTCACACCCAGGTCATGCAACATTTTATTTCCATTCAAATGACAGGATACAACATGTATAGAATAGGGAAATCTCAGGGTGTTTTGCAACCCCATCATGTTTGATTGTTGCCCATAAACTTGGAGAAGCAGGACAGAGGAAAGCACTGAACATCTAAAACATCTATGGTTTCGAGAGCAACAAGTCGACTAACCCCAAGCGCAATTTCACCCATGCCACAACAAAGGGACAATTACATAAGTGACAAGCTTGAGCATATTTGAGACCATGAAAGTTCACTCGAGTTCACTTGGGTGTTTTTACATAAAATCAAACAACCGTACTTGAGCTCTGCCTGTTCTAAATGAAGCATCTATGTCAACAAACATAGAATGCACAAATCGAGAATGGCAAAGTGCAGATCCCTTATAAAAGCACTTCATACACATAAAAATACTTTATACGCTTGCACAAGCAAAAAAAAAAAAACAACAAAACAATAGTACTTTGTAGCCATTCATAGTAAGACAAGTTCTAAAACGATATGGTGTGGTCACATATCTTTTATGCTCATCAATATCACATCTAACAAGCCAAATAAAAAAAAAATCAATAAAAGAATAAAGTGCAATTTATTTGTACAGATATGTTTACGTTATATAGGATACGTTTTGATAGATTGATCGTAAGTTCGCAGTCAACCGCTCACTCCACAAAGGGCACTTGGAAGTCCCAGAGCCTGCAAGTGTCCTGCCCTTTCCCCATAAGCAAATATTTTACTTGAAAGCATAGAATGCTTTTTTAACGGGAAACCTTAGAGGGCCACTGAAAAGGAAAAAAAAAAAGTTTTTTTTGAACAGTTTGGTTCGGAGGTGCGTGTCAAAAGATTAATTTGATGCAAAAAAAAAAAAATTAGAGCAATATTGACGGCGTGCGATTTATGCTAAATTCTGCGCGAAAAGTCCATGATGTCACGAATGATCCTACTTTTTCCACCTCAACGAGATGATCATACGCTCTCCCCACCTCAACCTGATGGCCAAGTCAATCCACCTCTCCTCGACGCGTTGGAAATGCCAGGAGAAAACAAGTGGAAAGGAGGTGACTAGGGACTAAATCGCGTCTCGCGCCGTCAATATCGGTATAAAAAATTTTTTTTTCGCATACAATTTTTTTTTACACGTGTGTCCAACCAGGCTGTGCAAGAGAAGACAAATTTTTTTTTCCTTTTCAGTGGCCCTTTAATACAAGAAACTATCCACTCGCCTGTGCACCTCTCCACTAAATTCAGCGGGCAAATCTACATCATGCGACTTCATGGTGTTACGTGACATAGTGATGTCACATCAAGTGACCATGTCTTGCATTGTCTGGTCATGCAACGCCAGTTTTCCATAAATTCGGCAGGAAAATGACGTTACGTAACCGAATGTCAAGTGGCATGATGTCACGGCGTCAAGTTGTGTCATGCAATAGCACGACGGCATGCGACATGAATTTTCCCTATAAATTTAAAGGGAAATGGTTGTCAAGTCACTTGACGCTGAATTTCCTGCTAAGTTGATCAGGGAAATTATTAAAACATGTTCTTGTTCACTCCCCGAAAGGAGTGTTTAATGTCTTCTAAACAAAATTTGAACAATTGCTTCTTAAATACTGAATTTCACGTATTACAGGGATTTGGAGATAAGTCACTGCCAATAACTCTCCTTACTTAGACATTTCAATTAGTTTAAAAAGTCAATCTAAAACGAGCAAGATTTAGCCAAAATGATCAGAATTACTCCTGCAACAGTTTATTCATTATGAACGCTTCAGCAGAAAGTTAACACAGGCTCCTGGAGATCCGTCGTATCCTATAAAACAGAAACACCAGGCCTACAGAAAGCTTCTTTAAATTTGTCAACAGTGACTAAACCCTGCCTTTCAAAAAATACTCTGGTACATACAAAACTATGCAGATTTTTCGGCTGTAAAATATTACTCTCTGCATGTAATAGGCAACTGCTCCCTAGACGGGACTTTACACGATACAAGCGTTGTATCACACTTTGGAGTTTCTGAGGTTGGGCAGTGAGCGTGGAACGAAAGTGGCCACAAAGACTGACCCATCCATTTTGTAATATCACACTCGAGAAGAGGGTGCCAGGCACGATCATGTGATATCACAACCAGAACAACAATTCCCGAGTCAGGGATCATTAATCAAGCACAACGGTCTTCACAGACAACGAGGAACATTCATCCACAGGGCTGTATAGAGCATTTCAATACATCTCTAATAGACACTGCTTAAAGGATGTGGATGATGAGTGATATCCCAGTAGTTGGGAAGAGACAAACAACAAGGCCCATCTCCCTAGACGGGACAATTCCATTATATTTCTTGGATTTCTGTTGTCAACTAACATCCGACATTATGCTTCTGCTTCTGGCAACAAGCCCAGCTCAGTTCAAACTGAAAGAAAACTGTTGGCAATGTTTTCAAATTCTGGGAATCAGATGGCTTCCAACATGATTTGCGGAAGCTTTCAAGAACTTCCGCAGTCATCAAGTGGGAAGACGTGCAACAACTCTCAGTCTTATAAAAGGCGTGAGAATTGCGAAAATTAAATAGAATTAGATGGGAGTCCATTGAGGCTGAACCAGACTGTTAAGCTAAAGAGCCACAGCCACGCAGGATGTCTACGGAACTTATAGATGAAAAATGTGATATGCTCGGCTCCGAAAACATGAAGAGGACACTTGGAGTGCAGACAATAGGTGAAAGCGTGCAAGGCCATAGAGTGTCTTTAGGCACATTTAAGGGCATCACTCAAAATGGGCATTAAAGACCAGCATGAAATATGCATGCACAACATTCCAGAGGTCACATAAAGTGGCAAGTGACACAAGGTTCACAACCGCAGAACAGCTGAAGTGCAAACTTTGGATAGCTGGCAATTTTTTATGACTAGAAATCGGTCAAGGAGCTACCAGACGATGCATTAACTTTTCGTAGGGCATGGTATTGTGGAGGCAAGATATGATGCTATGAACCCCACCTCCAAAAAAGTGCAGAGTGCTAAAGTTGACAGTACAGCTCTTTGTAAATGTTTAATTGTCTCCATGCTTCCTAGCTTCTCCAGTAAAGCCTAAGTGGACACACAATGCTACAACCAACATCCTTCTGTCTTTATCTAGTTGTTTTTTTCTAGTAAGGAAGCTTCCCCAGTATAATTCGGTTTCAGAAAAATGCAAGATTGGCACCTAGTGCTGTTACAGACACTGGAACTTCAACTGGCTAGTTCAAGGAAATATTCCAGGTATTACTATATTATCATAAAGAATATGCTTTAAATATGTTAAATGTTCTGTTTTTACTTCAGAAAAGGTATGGTACATCAAAATGTATATCATTAAGACCAAATGCAATGAACTTAGCCTAAAGATTACCCTTGTTGACCGGGGGGTGCTTGTCTAGCTCTGTAGACTGCAATAATTGGTTATGATACTGGAGGCTTATTCATGAATGCTAGGGGTACTATTTAAAGGACACATGCAAAGGGAAAAAAAACATTTTTTTTAGACAGCTTAGATGGAAAAAGGATGTCATAAAACGATTTTACAACGAAGAAAAAAGATTTTTAGAGCTATATTTACGGCGCTATACGAATTTGTAGTTGGCGCTCGCGGGAGCCGCCGCTGGTCACGTGGTAGGCCCGCGCGCCGCCGCACGCTGAGCGTTGTGCGAACGCCGCTCCAACGCGTTTCTCCACGCCGCCGTCGCCGTTACCGCACAAGTTCGTCTGCTTCAGGGCGCCGCCGCCGTCGTCTGACCGGCACACGGGTCTATCAGATCTGCTTGCGCTTTTTCAGGAGTTTCCTTTGGGCTCTAAAAGTTACTTATTCATCTTAGTTTTTTGTTATACTTCAAACAAAGATGAATAAGTTACTTTTAGAGGCCATAGGAAGCTTCCGAAAGAGCGCAAGCACCACGTGACAAATATGGGCCCGTTAAGGGCCACTTTTCCCCGGCGCCCGCCGGTGCTAACTACAAATTCGTATAGCGCCGTAAATATAGTTCTAAAATTTTTTTTTCTTGGTTCAAAAATTGTTTTATGATATCCTTTTTCCATCTAAGCTGTTTAAAAAAAAATGTTTTTTTCCTTTGCATGTGTCCTTTAAGAAGACAGAACAGAATTTCCATTAAAATTGCCCTATAACAACTGCATGACAACTAGACATATGCACACTTGTAACCGGTGAGCTGTGGTACACTACGGTACTGAATGGGCGACCAGGCTAGCTGCTACGGCACTAATCCCCGTTAAATGCAGCACACGCCTTATTTTCTATGCTGACAAACCAAATGCATGGCATCCTCTGCCCTGTACAAACTGACAAAGGTGTTTATACAAACAAAGGTGATCGAATGAAAACACAGGACCAGGCACTACCACAAAATACCGAGGGAGCGCCCACACCACGTTCACTGAAAACTGGGTTAATCTAGACTTGGGCACTCCTCCGGTCAAATCGGGTGCTTAATGTACTATTTGCAAAATTTTTAAGTTTGGGAAATGTTAATAGCGGGCACTTGAACAAAGTGGATGCTTCTGCGGTACTTTATGGTAGTTCAAGAGAAAGCATGTGAGGATACAAAATTGCATTGGCCAAAATAGATGCAGTGTATGTTCTGGTTAAGTATGAGAACTGCACCTGTTGTTTCAAGCACTAGCTATCATTAATATATGCTGGAAAACAAGACTAAACAATGTTGCCTTGTTCTAATGACAGCAATAGCTCCAAGCTACACTTGAAACTACTTTCAATGTGAAAAATGGGCTATGTATACTGGGCCTAATCTCATAAAAGATTAGTTTTAGAGAAATGTTGCTCAAGAAGTCCAGCAGCAGTAGCTCATTCTTCATATGCTAAAAGATGACAAAGTAAAAGTGACTACCGCCTTTCTCCAATGGCAATTAAACATCTAGTATCCAACATGGCTGGTGTGGAACAAACCAATGAAAGAGCAACCACAGTTAAGTGAAGTCACACGTGGAGAGGCAAACAGATGGTGCGAAAACTGATATCACACTGCAGGCAAAGGCTTAAAGGACTCTCTCTAGTCCATCAGCTTTAACGAGTCTTTTAGGACAAAAATGTGCGGAAACAGAGCGACAAAGAGCTCCACTCCGAGGATACTTTGGTGCGCAGCTGGCCATGGAGACCGGCAATCGACTGGTGTGCCAGCTTTGAGCAGAGGACGACAGCTGCTCCGGAAGTTCAGACAAGCAGACAGGGGCCAACTCTTGAGCAATAAAGAGACCCAGGAGGTCGCTCACCAATGAGACGCCCAAGACTGGAGGTTGCAGTCATGAGCATCCTTGAAAAATCAACGTGCAAGTTAAACAATTCCATGTGAAGTACGAGGCTGTGGGTACACCTCGACCACAGGGCAATATATATACCAGGTGTTTTAGTGAAGAATGACAAAAGTTCAGAAAATTAGTGTAATTAAGCTAAAAAGATAATTTTCTCGGGGCCGCACTACCCGTGGTAGCAAACATAAGAAAATGTGAAATACTTACTAATTAGTTTGCTAATTAAGTAAAAATGACTAATTACCTAAGTAGTGCAAATGGACATATGGTTCCAATTAGAAACTTGCTGAGCGTCATTGAAACCACTAAATCAGTAATTTTCAAAAAGAATGAGCATGTGAGAAGTGTAGTAGTGCGCTAATGTTACCACTTGTAGAGCACGTACAAGGCTAGCGGTTGAGATAAGGCACCCACAGAGTTTTCCATCTCTTATCAGAGCCCCAGCCTTGTACCTGCTCCACAAGTGTTAACTTTAGTGCACTGCTACGCTTCTCCCATGCCCAGTCTTTTTGTAAATTACTGATTTAGGGGTTTTGATGATGCTCAAGAAGTTTCTAATTGGAACCATATGTCTATTTTCACTAATTAAAAAGTTAATTAGTAATTTTTATTTAATTAGCGAACTAAGTAGTTAGTATATTGTGCATTTTCTGAAATTCGCCACCACGAGTAATGCGGTCCGGAGAAAATTGTCGCTTTACCTGGAATACACTAATTTTAGGACTTTATGTGCCTTTGCTGAAACACCTAACAAAAAAAGACACAGCTCTGAGGATAAGTAGACCTTGCTATATGCAAGTGCTAGTTTTAACGGCTCGGCTCCCATTGTGATCAATTGTAGGTGCCACCTTTTCCTTTGCCGAAATGAGAATAAAGAAGGTACAGTCAATAATGGAAGTTGGATATAAATCTAAAGGTTCTTATGCAGTGAATTCAGCTACAATGGAGCTCAAGAAGTACACAATCCTTTCCTTACGCTCCACAAACTAACTTTTTTCAGAGATTCGCTTGACATTTGCAAACAATTATTTGAACGAAATTCAACGAGGTGACTAGTGCAGTCATGGAACAGAAAGGGTGAGCACAGACCACCAAAGCAATATTGTATCAACTTTGCGGAGTTTAAAATCTATAGCCCCGTTGTCAGGATGCCCAATGGCATACCAAAGCACTGGCACAAAGATGAACGGAGAAACTGAAACAAAGTATCGGTTGTTTTGTAGTTTTAGTTTCCTCGGCCTAGTCTGTGCCTCAACTTGTTTTTATCTTTTGTCCAGGAGCTTGGGCACCTTTCACAAATGACAAATCTAGGTTTGGAAGTCTTAAGATTAGCAGACGCCTGAAGAGGCACAATGTGCTAGACTCTGAGAACCACTGAATGTTCGGCCATTCTGCTTTGCAAGCAGACATTCAGATGGAGCTGATGGAATCACCAACTTTTTTTCTTTTTTACGTATATCAGACGTGAAGTCAGAACTGATCTCAGAATCTCCAAACATCTTTGCTCTGTCACACACAGCCAGGCTCTGGAAGCGGGTTACAAGAAGTCACCTAGGTCGAAGCGCAGAGGGCCAGTTCTGGGTGCAAAAGGAGAATTTGCTAAACAAGAGGCATGGCCCTAACAAAATGGAGGACCGTCCTAGGCCGAGGAGAAACAAATGATCACCATTCTCCTCACTGAGATTATGTCGCTATAACGCTGAAGTGACTCTTGCCAACACTACCTAGAATAACTTATGCCTATGCACTAGAATTTTTAATGTCGTAACAGTAAAATCGAGTTCGAACAATAATTGGACACGATCAGTGCGTCAGCGTTTGGCTGGGCTTCATGTTCAATCGGTCTGTTGATGGACACTCGGTGTCGAGCTCGAGCCAAATTACGGAGTTGGCCACGCTCATCGTACGGTGATGATGTTCCATGTATCTAGAAAAGACTGTTCACAGGCTTCAAATGTTCTGGGTTTCCAGCTCCTGCTAAGGCAACTGGAGCCGCAGGCGGTGCTTGGTTGCCAACACTTTCCATTTTGCTGCTGCTGAGGTCCCGTGGCATCTTAAGAGACGGGGTATTAATTATATTAATTATATTTAGCCGAAAGACTACAAAAGATACGCAAAAGCTTCCAAGCCTCTCAAAACACCGTATAAATTGGTTTCTCTCACTATGATTGACTACAGAAATACCCGTAGGCATTGAGTTTATTATTCGGAAGCATAAAAGTATAAAATGTCCCAAATTCAAAAAAAAAGAAAAAAATGTTTTTGCAAAGAAAGGTTTAGCTTGGCTTCTCTTTACAAAATTGTCACATATAATTCTGGGCTATGATAGTGTTTATTGTGACAGAAAAAGGGATAAAATTATTGACTTACATTTATTCTCACTTTTCCAAAATAAATGCTAGGGTTCACCATGTTATTTAATGGCGTCACGCGAGCTAAGCTTTGTCCATAAAAACAAAAACAATTTTGTCTTAGCTTTTTTTTACTTACACAAACTCATCCTTTCACATTTCAACTAAAGGAATGTGCCATCTAACTACGATGCCTCTCTGCCAAATTTAAATCTGTAAAGAAACCTATTTCTGCAGTTCTTTCAAAGGGTCAATGCACTAGGTTCAGCCTGTATGTGCAGAACAGCCACTACAAACAAGTCTTAACAATGGCAGCCTTGGAACACACCCACGGAACATGGAACAGCATGGCTAGACAAAAAGACTTCCAAGGTTCACGCACAACACACCTGCTTTACGTGGCAACGACATAAAAACATCCTTTCTTCGTTTGTCACAGTGTGAGCTCGCCTATGAATTTATGAGCTCAGGCATAAAGCCTGCTCTCCCTTAGACAGAAGTAACCTTGAGCAATACCTTCAGGAAATTGTATTTCCATCAGGTGCCGTGCGGCACCTCAACTACCAACTTTGGCTTCCATTTGGAAGAAAATCTTGCACAATGTTTTGTTATCTCCAGTTAATAGCGTCATCATCATAAAACTGTCAATTTCAATGCTTAGAGCCATCCGAGGTGTGACCGAAGGACAACCCCAGCAATGATTCAAGGCCGGTTCAGACATTTGCGTTTCAGTGTGTCCGACTGCCTAATACTGCTCGTAACTGGTTACGAGACGGTCACTATGCTGACTGGGCAATCAAGTTTGGATGGACAAGTAGTGCCATCCTACGCAGAAATATTACAACCCTGCTATGGCCCACACCCGCAACCGTGGGACGCTATCTCGAGCTCGAATGTCGTGGTGCCCTGCCAAGCTTTTCGGCCAGCAGCCAGCCACGGTGCCTCCTGTTCAGTGTCCCCAGATTACGTCAACCCAGGTGCACACAATGCGTCGTAGTGTAACGACATGGTTGCTCACAATCAAACACAAATGTCAGAATCGACCTTCACTCGTCCCAAAGGGTCAGTTCGCTCTTCAGGACGATCAAATTCGAGACCGAGGGAGGGACGGACGTGCAGAAGTCCTGTTTTCATATACTCCCGATAGTGCAGCCACTTTGAATTAGAACCCAATACCGGCGTAAGAATGCCTTTCCAAACGACCGCGATCCTCCTCTCCAAGGACCGCAAGGGCGGATCAACAAAGCCACCGACGGCAGAACACAGGCTGGCGGTCGGCCGGAGGGACCCGGCCCATTAGAAGACGTCCACGAAGGGGAAGGCCGCGCTGCGGGGCTCCAAGATGTCTGCCAGGAAACAGGCAGTGCCGGCCAGGCCCTCGTACAAGCTGTACGGGCAGTCCGGCGTGCGGGCCTGCTTGAACTCGTCGGTGAACATGAACTCGGCGAACTGGCGCGCCCGGTGCAGCCAGCGCAGCTCCCCTGTCAGCCGGTACAGGAGCAGGAAGACGTAGCCACTGCCAGCGATGCCATGGCAGATGCCGGGCCCCTTGCGCAGCAGGCCCCGCTCCCAGACCAGCTGGCCGCTGCGGAGGCAGGACTCCAGGTAGCGCGGATCTTGCCACACCTGGTACGCCTTGGCCATCAGGTACACCACGCCTGCGATGCATGCAATGCTCACTCAATCACCGATCAGCGGGCAGAATCGACAACACATAGAAGTCGAGGCCTGCACCTTTGTCCCTCAAATGTCATCATTAGTGGATCCACGCAGTGCCACCTAGCTTGCGGCAGCGATGCCACCAACGTGTCTTGTGGCATCTCACAACGAGAACCACGCCAGACGCAGGCGTCCTAGGGGTTTATGGCTTTAGCGTGTTTACCACCTGGGACGGGTGGGAGATCCACTAACGACGATGTCATGATTAGACGTCGTCTTCCAGCTTGATCACCGGATTCGCCGCCGGATCACTAACTGGTGGGTTGAAGTTCGGATCACCAACTGGGGTCGGGGGAACACGGAAACAATCGCTGGGCCACTTGCATTCATTTATTTGCAACACATTAAAATAAATTGGAGAACTTGTTGTCTGCATGAGCTAAGCCAGGGGTCTCAAACACGCGGCCCGCGGGCTGCATGTGGCCCGCGCAGCCAAGCATAAATGAATTTTTTTTTTTTATTTATTAATTTTTTTTTTTAATGATGTTTTCACTTTCGCTCACCCCAAGTGTTTAAAAAGCTTGCTAAAATAAAAAAATCCAAGCTGTTCTACTTCGACCATATGCCAGGATACATGACGCAAACGTAGAGCGCGGTGTCATGAAATAGCGTTTGTGGAAGAGAGGGGGCCGCTTTTGGTTAAAAATAGATAGTCGGACCGGACGCAGTAGCTGAGTCGTCGGCAAAGGGCTTCCAAGTCTTGCGACGTCAACTCTCAAGCAGACATCTCAATGTCATTGTCCAAGCCGTCTGCAAAACGCAAAGTTGAAGACGAGAAGCGACTCTTTCAAGAGCGATGGGAACTATCCTATTTCTTCACGGAATCGCGAGACAAAATTGTGTGTTTAATTTGTCATCAGACTGTAGCTGTGCCAAAGGAATATAATGTGCGACGGCACTACATGTCATGCCACCAAGAGAAGTATGAAGCCCTCACCGGAAAGATCCGCGAGGACACGGTGTCCCAACTTAAGGCGTCGCTGGGAGAACAGCAAGACCTCTTCCAAAAGGCGGTCAAAACAAGCGACGAAATGGTGAAAGCTAGTTTCATTGTTTCCGAGCTTATCGCCAAATCGTCCAAGCCATTTACTGATGGCCTGTTCATAAAAAAGTGTCTGCTTGAGGTTTCTGACGCTGTCTGTCCCAGCATGAAGAAGACATTTGAGAAGATAAGCCTTTCCCCAAACACAGTGGCAGGAAGAATTAATGAGCTCAATGAAAACGTTGAGAAAGAATTATTCACCCGATGCATTGGCTTCAACGCATTCTCAATCGCCGTCGACGAGAGCACTGATATTACTGACAACGCTCAGTGCGCCATTTTTGTAAGGGGCGTAAACAAAAATTTGGACGTCACAGAAGAACTCTTGGACCTAGTGCCAATGAAAGAAACAACCACAGGTGCTTATATTGTTTCCGCCCTCGAACGAGTGGTTGATCGTGCTGGGCTGCCATGGGAGAAGTTGGTGTGCCTCGCAACCGACGGCACACCGTCAATGGTGGGAAAGAAAAGCGGCCTCGTCGGACGAAACTCACGGGACTGGATATCAGCAAGCGGTTTGCAGCAGTCCTCCGCATTTTAGACCAAGAGGCACTCTGCAGCAAGTCACTGCAGATGAAAGGAGTCATGGAGATTATGCTTGGTGCAATAAACTCCATTCACTCCAGAGCGTTAAAGCATCGACAGTTTGTACCTCTGTTGGAAATGGTTGGCAGCAAGCTTTAGCGAAATTTTGTACCACACTGAGGTACGGTGGCTGAGTCTCGGGAAAGTTCTGAAGAGGTTTTTTAATCTTCGACACGAGATTGATACCTTTTTGAAAAGCAAAAACAAGGCCGTCGCTGAACTGTCCGACTCCAGCTGGCTTTGCTCCCTCGCATTCCTCACGGATATCACTCAGTACCTGAACCGTCTAAATGGGAAACTTCAGGGGAAGGACAAACTTATTACGACAATGTATGATGACATCCAGGCGTTTCAATCGAAGTTACAGCTCTAAGAGCGCCAAATGAGGCTGCTCAAACTCGACCATTTCCCGACGCTCCAGTCACTAGGGCAAGAAAGCTAAGAATCGTGCGACACCTTTTCGGACCTCCTGCGTGATCACCAAGAAGAATTCCAAGAACGGTTCAAGGACATAAGCAGCCTGTCAAAAGAATTTAAACATTTTTCTTTGCCCTTCTCAGTGCGAGTGGACGACGTTGCACCTGAACTACAGATGGAACTGCTTGAACTGCAAGCGAACACTGTGCTCAAGTAGAAGTTTGAGGACGTCGGAGTCCCTAAGTTTTACAAGTTCCTCGACGAGGCAAACTTTCCCTTGCTGCGCCAACAAGCAGTAAGGATAATCGCCATGCTCGGGAGCACGTACTTGTGCGAGCAACTGTTTTCCTTGCTAACGGTAAACAAGTCGACACTTCGGTCAAGCATGACCGACGAACATCTGCAATCGATCATGAGGATCGTCTCCGCACAAGGGTTAAAGGCGGACATTGATTTTTTCGTCGCCGCTAAGCGTTGTCAGGTGTCAAGCCAGCGTTCATAAAATTTAAGCTCTCATATTTGTGGTTCACATGAATAAATATATCTTGGCTTTCACAAATTTTTTTGGACATTATCTTTGTAATACTGCGAATCGCAATATAATTTACGCAGGTAAACTTTGCGGCAATGAGTTGTAGCATGGTTGGTGCAGATTTGGACAGTTGTCAAAAGCGGTGATAGTATCTGGCATGAACCCCGTGTTGGTCAAAATCAGAAACCGGATGTCACACACTTCCGAATGGCGACAATTGCAAAACCAACCCCCCCCCCCCCTTTTGCTCCCGACGTGCCGGCCCTTGCGAACCTAGGATTTCTGGATGCGGCCCGGTTCCTAAAGTGAGTTTGAGACCCCTGAGCTAAGCGATGAGAAGAGACATCGGTATGGCTCAGGGTTTTCTTCCCGCAGATATGACCTGAATACTGCAGCAGCCAAGGAATAGAACAATAGGAATAAGACGTAACCAGATGCAGAAGCTATATAGTACATGTCGGCCGGCAAGCGTCGCAGCCAAGTCGTTTTGACATCACAAAGAGAATCTTTTGAGTGAGACAAGTATAGCCTCATCGCCAACTAAATTTTTTCGTCCCTCTAATGGTGGATGCCTTGATGGCAGTAAGTAAATGTGATTAATCCAGTTCAGCACAGAAAAAAACGCATGGGGATTGGAGTGCACTTTGTTATCTCTGCTAACAAAGTAACTGAGTGTGCAGGCAAGCTGGTGCTAATTAATCGTAATGTAGTGCCTGAGACTGAGTTGAGACATTCTCTTAGTGTTGTCTTTTCCCTCGACTTGAAAGTTTCTTAGTTTTCCTGCACCACAGTTTCGGGTGTTGCATTATGATTACTTTATTTCTGACTTGGACTTCCAAATTTTTTGTGCCTATAAAGACTGTCAGCAAAGAACTGGGAGAAGAGAGCTTATTGGCATTATTGTAACATACACAGAGTAGTATAGTACAGAATTTATTCAAATTAGGCAGCAAACATTGAAATAAGAAATTAAGCAAAGTGCACCACTCGGGAACTTTGAAATCTATCTCTTTGGGCAGAAATGATACCTGCCCTCGTCAAAACTTGGGTAGAGAATTATCTTGGCAGGAAACTCGAAAAAAAAAAAAAAAAGAAGACGCCAGTAGGAAAGATTGGGAGAATCTTACTTGTACTAAATTGGGGTAAAAAAATAAGCCACAATAGGCTCGAGAGCAATGTTTTGGTAGCTGAATCTAGGTCAGAGTAACTCGATAGAGCTAGCAGGATCTAACATCCTTACTCAAAGGAAGAAATATTCACACTTGCACGTGCCACGTCTGTAGTGAGGACACCTGGCAATAGAGGGCACCACATGTGTTGTGCTGCGGGATTACCGGAAGCGAAGCTTCTTCCGGTTGTTGATTTACGATTAAAGGCACTTTTTGACGAGCTGTCACACGGGGTGGTTGTGTTCCTTCTGCCTGGCGACCATGCGGTCGCACTCGGACGCCCACGGTCACAACATGGTGTCAGAAGTGGCCGGCCTCCCGGTCTGACGTCCTCCTCCTGCTGCTGCTATCACTGCTATGCTCACAGCTAGCCCTGCCTCTCGTCGTATCCGCGTCGCACGCTGCTACGCTTTCAGTCTTCTCGTCACCGTCGCTGCGTTCCTCGTCATGTCGCAGGAGAGAATAACGGAAGCTGCCGCCGCCACCGCCCCCGTCGTCTCACTCCCGAGCTTGGTTCCACCACTCAAATTCGACTTCGCAAACCCCGACAAGTGGCCGCAATGGTTTCTACAATTCAAAGACTTCAGCTTTGCGTCAGGCCTCTACCAAGCGTCGGACGAAGTTGAGGTGCGGACGTTGCTGTACACTATGGGATCCGAAGAGGCACGGCGTGTTCTTGAGACGTTAGGCCTCACCGCAAAGGAATGGCGGTCCTTCGCTGCGGTAACAGACAAGTTCAAGGCGCACTTCGTGCATCCACCGAACGAAGTGTACGAGAGCGTGCTTTTTCACCGGCGGGTCCAGGAACGAGGGGAAACCGTCGACAGTTTTTACACGGCCCTTCGTGCACTCGTCCGCAAGTGCAACTATCCGTCCACAGAGGTCGAGGACAGGCTCGTTAGAGACCGCTTCGTCGTAGGACTTCTCGACTCGAGACTCTCTGACAAGCTCTGCCGCTGTCCGACCCTCACCATGGCCGAGGCCCGGCTACAAGCACGTATCCACGAAGACGCCGTCAAGGCGCGGGCGACCGTTTTTCGTGACGAGACAGCTGCCGTCGCACCTGAGCAGGTGAAGCTGGATGAAGCACGTGTGAAAAAAGGACGGAAACCGGCCCCCAAGACGTCTCCCAAGCGAGACTCGGCGTCGTCGCAGAGAGAAGGCAGCAAGAACTGCAGATTCTGCGGCCGTCAAGCGCACCCCCGTAACGAGTGCCCGGCTAGACAAGCCAAGTGTCACTACTGTCGGCGCCTGGGTCACTTCGAAGATGTCTGCGAGAAGCGGAAACGAAGTTTGAGCACTGTTCATCTACATGCCGTTTCGACCGCAGGCCGAGCGAAGTTCGTCAAGGTCGCCGTCAACGGGTATGACGTCGACTTCAAAGTGGACTCTGGAGCAGAAGTCACGGTGGTGCCAAGCACGTTTCCCGGAGCACCTCGCAGTCTCCAAGAGCCTGAAGGGCAACTCACTGGACCGGGCAATCACCCATTGACAGTTTTCGGTACCTTCCAAGCCACATTGACTTGGAAAGGCAAGTCGGTAGTGGAGCGGGTTTACGTCCTTCCGTCGCAAGACCCGCCTCTTTTGGGGTTTCCTGCCATCCAGAAGCTGGGATGGCAGGAAGCTGGGATGGCAGGCCCTCGGAGTTTTTTTTTCTGATTGAGCTCTGCGTATAAAAAGCAAATGGCATAGCCCAAAAAACTATCTAAAACAGCAAAAAGAAAAAACAAAACATTTAACAACCTGATTTTTTTTTTTTATAGATTTTCAATAGTATAAAATCAATATTTCGTAATAGTTTATTCTCAATATTTTCAAAGGAGGATTTCTACCATCTTCTGATAGTATTCCTATAGGTTTTAGATTAATCATAGATACTTATGCAAAAGTCCCTAATTGTAGTTGCATTTTTCTCCAAGCTACGCTACATTTCCTGGATGGACACGATGTACTTCGTCACCTAACGAAATACTATCGATTGGGAGTGCTTCGGGGGGAAGCGAGCAAAGGAGACATGACTGCAAGTACAAAGGGTGTGCATGTGCAAAGCGTGGCGCTTTAATGTGGCGGTGGACCGTCGGACGGTGTGGCGATGCATTTTGGCTGGCGCTTCCGTGACCCAGAAACTTTTCTGCCGACTGTATATGTCCTATTCAGGCACTTCTTTTGGGAGGGATTCTGGCATTTCTTTTTTGGTTTATTCGTACAACACATCCTTATTTCTGCAGAAAACCATGCATCTCATAAACCTGAGATCTGCGAGGTAAAAAGGCCACGAGAAAGAAAAAGGAGTGCAGAAAATTCCAGTGACCGGTCGAATCACAAAGTCACATTTAGTTTAGTCAGTGGAGTCTCTTTTCGTGAATGTGTTTGCAACCTTCAAAAATTTATCAAACAATAGGCAGGAAAAAAAAAAAAAAAAAGAAGAAAAGGAAGGTTTACAGCTTGATACTTGTTACCGTAATCCTTCTCCAAAAGGAAAGGGACTGGTCACTCCGACAAAAGACCGGTATTGTGCAGGCCGGTCACAGATTTTTTGTGGCTGTTCACAGGCTAGGGAGGATTAGCAAACATCCGTAACTCGACGCATGTGGCCCCAAACCTGGACGACGTCTGATCCCTATCAGAAAACAACTCCACTAGGCGAATAAGCCATTAATGTCAGTGGACCGCAGCATTGACAAGCTTTGCGTAACGGCATGCACCTAAAGTGCATGCCATTACGACTTACAGCTTCGTTCGGCAAGCGGGGAGCAGAAAGAAGGCGAGCTCACCGGGTGCCCCGTGACACCAGTGCACGAGCTCGTCCTGAGAGCGGCGGGGCCGGGTGACATCATCCAGGTCGCAGGGAAAGTTTCCCTTGGGCGTCTGGACGTGCAGGAAGAAGTCGACAGAGGCCCGGAGGTCCCGCTCCACCGAGGGGTCTGCGCCCACAAACCAGGGGAACTGGAGCAGCACCAGCAGGATCGAGCAGAGCCCATGCGCCGCACCTGCACAGGGAGCACGCTCACCACACGGATGCCCAAAGGAGAGACGCGTCCGACAGACAGACAAAGTCCGTTGGAGAAATGTATCCGATAGATAAATGAAATCCACCGGAGATGTATACAATGAACAGACAAACTCCACTCGAGACATAAACGATGGACAAAGTCCAATGGAAAGATGTAACCGAGGGACAGACGAAGTTCATTGGTGAGACATATCCGATGGACAGGTGAAGTTCATGGCATACATCTCCAGCCGACCCGCAGGGGCAACACGCTAAATTTAGCCGATGACGGTATGGTGCGGCTAAGGCGACAGCAAAGCAATGGCTACGCAAATCTCAACTTTAGCTTCTGTCCAAAAGCATTCAGCAATTAGCCCAAATGGAATGTCGCATATCGATCCCTCGCAAAAGAGCGGACAGCACAGACGTTTGACGAGGGGAGCGTGGGGGCCTCACCCAGGTACTCGACGTCATAGTAGGCGTACATGAGAGGACAGGGGGAGCGGTGCTTGCGGGCATACTCCCTCCCGGAATGCACCACAGAGCTCAGGAGCACTGCCACCTTCTCCTGAGGGAGCACCTAGGGAAGAGAAAACGAGTATATTAAGGAAAATATTATGGTGACTTATTTTATTTATTTGTTTAGTATTCAGTAGGCTTACTGACCATTACAACAGTGGGTTCTCGGCAAATATACACTTTATATACGCTCATTCACAAGCAATCGTAAAGCGTGCAGATTTCTTGGTATAAAAAATAAACATCAACACCAAGGGGTTAGGGGCCAGGGATATAAGAGAGAATGAAAAGGAATTACATGGAGACTGCGTTTGGTGTAATTATAGATTCACCAACAGGGCAGCCTAAAATGAAGTTCTTGCTGAAGTGCCTCATTTGACAAAGGCCACAGTTTTTTTTTCCTTTTTTTGTTGCGAAAACATTTGGGTCTTAACATAAAAGTAAGTACGTGGAACCGACGCGACGAAAAGCATGACAAAAATGTGAAACGGAATTGCTATGTCATCACTTGCAAGCATAAGTAGCGGTACTACGGCATAAGCACATCAGTGTGTGCTTACTGATCCCTGGTGGAGAGGGTCGAAGGTCCGAGCATTTCACTTTTCATCACGCGCTCATAACTTTGTCATTTGTGGTACACAAATGGCAAAGTTATGAGCACTTCTGAAGTTCAAGAACAGACTGATGGGTTTTTGTTAATAAAAATGACCAGTTCTAGATTGCAAGGCATTCTAGTAAACTCGCAGCAATGGAAATACATAGGCGCTATTTTCTCTTGCACGGGCCATCCTCGGGTCCCGCCACCACCTTCATAAAATTTGACCAATGAAAATAGTGAATTGCGTGGAGATTCTGAACCTTACTAATAGTTCACTTTCTATGTACTTTGCGCATAAAATTTTGACAAGAATGTAAGTTTTTGGGTTGGGGAGACATAGCACAGCAATCATTGTTTGAAAACGCCATCCGACCATGCCCCCTGGTGTCTGCTCTAAGGCGCAAAAAAAGAGGTGTGTCACAATCCTTAATTAGATTTTTAATAGGGAAATCATCCGCTTACGAATGTAATTTTGGGTTTTCCGAATACCTAGCGCCCGTAGATTGAGTTATCAAAAATAAATAGACCATCTCAGGATCCACTTGAGTGCTCCTCTAAAAAGGGGCTGAAGAGATTCTTGAAATAAACGAGTTAGATGTGAATTCTAGAGTGTTTTTATCCCGTAAACCTGGTTATCACGCTTGTTTTCTCCGAATATGTAATTAAACATGAGAAAATATGAAAAACTTTTGACCAGTCGTTTTGTCATAAAAGGATCAGCCAACCGCCTAGCATGTCTTGGTCGTGTGGGCAGTGCGTGCGACTGCAAGCTTGCCAGGTATATTTGCATGCACTGACACCAGTCGTGACATCTTTTTTTTACCTTTATGAAAATAGCAAGAGTGCGCAAGCATAGCTTTGATAAGCGCTGAAGATGCACGAGAGTGGGGATTCCGAAAACTCCTATTACAGTGTAGACCGCATATAACGTATGTCGCGGGAGTCGCGAAAATCCGCACTATAAGCGGTACCGCGCTATAACCGAAACATCAATTTTTCAGGCTAAAATACATGCCATGAGACAACTTACCTTTGTAAAAGAATTTATTTTATGTTAGATGAAAAATAAAGCTTACTTTGAGGAAAGTCTTTATTTTACCAGACTAGTACAGTTCTGTCTTAAGTGTGTCACACGTTTCGAAAGAAATGAGCGGTTTTTGCCTGGCGCAGCCTTTTAACGGCGTCGCGGGTTGCGGACGGACGTAGCGAGCGTTCAGGATTGCTAACCCTAATCGCTTTTCTCCGGAGATGAAAACGCGTGAAAATTCGCATCCTTCATACGGTACGCGCCAGTAATACCTTGAACTTGAGCACACGCATGAAATGCGCCAAATAAGAAATCTGGGCGATGTTCGAGGACACAAATGCTTAGAAATCACCACTGTAGTCGAAGAAACAAACACGACGACACGGGCGTTTCTGCCGTCTTGAGAGCGCCGCCACGACATCGTCGCACGAGTAGGTGGATCTTCCCTTCTTGTACGTGCCGGGTTATCATAGCGACACACAACGAACATTTACAGTCAAGGTTAGCGCTTTTACGCGATGAGAAGAACGCCGTCTACAACGACGATCACAACCGACGCCATCTTTGCGGATAGAAGCAGCCGGCCTGCGACCGGCATGCAACGCGCGCGAACACTTCTCCTCGACCGGCAATTGGTCTGTCGTTGTGGTTGTTTGTTTCCAACGCAGCAGAGGTAATCGTAACGCACGCACGTGAACGACACATGCGTGCATCCCTCCGTCACTATTGCAACTGAAGCTTCTCTCTTCGCTTCCCCCGCTTCTTCCAGCAACCTCCTTGCGCCGTTATCTAGTGTCGCACAGGGAACTGTGCTCGCTGCTCCGGTCGTCGGCGCGGTCGGCGGGCTGTGCCAGAAACCGTCTTATAACCGGTATTTCCCTTCGCGCGCCTGCATTTTAAGCGGTATGCATTTACATGGAGTTCTATGGGAGGCGAACCAGTGGTTTAAAAAAACCGCGTTATACCCGGTTTTGCACTATAAGCGGTTACGTTGTAAGTGGTCTATACTGTATCACATCACGCGCCGGAAAGGTGGGTTTTTAGCAGTACTTTGAAAAGGATTTTCTGCTGCCTCCGTGCACCAAATTGAAAAATAATCTTGATATTTGTGGTCTTGGAGGCCAAATGAAGAAAATTTAAGTATTTTTACTCAAATACAGGACTGCTTCAGCTTCCCTTTAAGGGAGGACACTGCCCAGAAAAAACAAAGGGAGTGTCTACATCCACGCGCGGGGATGTAGCCAAGTCGGGAGGAGATAGGGCTCCATCCACGCACTACGTCACTTCTGGCGTACTACGCCGATTCCTGCGTGGACGGAGGCAGTTCTCCTCCCGTCTTCTCTTTGTCTGCGCAGGAATCAACCTACGGTCTTGCCTCCCGTTATTTTGCCATGTGCTCAGCAACCATTGCTCCTTGCGTTCCTGCCGAGCGCGGACTGCTGTTCCTGCCTGGTCTTCCGCAAGCAAACTCGACTTTCTCTGAAGCGTTTTATTTTTTTTTTTCTTGTTTTCTTGGTCAAGGAATTTGGCCCTTTGCGTATTAGCACGGTCGGGCTTCTGTTATGCCTCCAGTTTCGGTTGCCGGGGATTCAATGGTGAAATACTTGACCCAGTATTTCCCATCGAATAACCGGGTGGCTGCCGAAACGTGGGCGTTTAACGGCATTAGGATTGAGGCTTTGTTTTCGAAGGTTTCGTCCTGCTCGATTTTGATGCTGTTATTTTGCACGTGGGCGCAAACAACACCAGCGTTTGTGCCAGCGCGTACATTGCAAGTACCGTCGGCTGGCCGCTCAGATCTTGGAACGCAATCCGACGATGCACATCGCCTTTTCTCCCATCCTTCCGAGGCAGGAGAACAGGTTCTCTTTGGGGCCTTCACACATGGGTGAAGGCCCCGGAGGCCGCACCCGCACTAACCCGCACCGAGCCAACCAAGCCCGCACCACATTGCTGCACGCACACACGCACGGATGGCACCGCCCACACGTGTGTAGGACTCCTGGACAACATAATTATCAAGATATCTATTGATAATATTTTTATGATGCATATTTGCTATTAGACTTAGAGAACAGTAAAAAATTTATAAATTGTCCACATATTTGTAAGGTCACGTGACATGTTAACTTTGATATGACAATAAAATCGAACCTCTTTATTTTTATATCCTATATTTACTCATGAGAAAGCATAATATGTACATATAAAAAAAGTGTCCTTATATTATAAGTCACGTGACCTTTGCGTGGATGGAGCCTTATCTCCTCCCGACGTGGCTACGTCCCCGCGCGTGGATGTAGCCTCGGCCAAAAAAAAAATACTGCAAAAAAAGTTGATATTGAAAAATGACATATTTACATCCTCCAACATCTAAAGAGTATTCCCAGAAAGTTTAATAAGTTTACACTGCATAGGTAATTTTTTATAAATTATTTACTGTCCACCGAAGCTAAAGAAAAGGTAGGGTTTAGAGCACTTTGAATGCATTTTTCTCCATTCCACTTTTTGGTATAAATTTCATTTTAGTCAATCTATCGTTTGATAATGGCAATACAGGGAAGGCTCGTTCTTCACTTTTCCTGACTTAAATTTAATAAAGAATGCGGCTATGGAACTTTTCTGTCAATTTTTGAATGTCTTTTATAAAAAATGTTGACATTTTGTCGAAGACACAGAAGACCAAAAGGTTTACCAATCTCGCAGAAAAGAAACTTTATAGAAATAAGACTTTTTACAAAAAAACTTTCCCTAGCCACACCCTCTAGGCATTCTGCTACATATCTAGCAAATAAAAATCTTGAATATTGTGATATTTTTTCGAGGATAGATTATCATTAACTCAGCAACACGCCCACATCAAATGTGGGCGTGTTGCTGATAAAAGCTGCTCTAATTTCCTTCCCATTCAATCGACAGACCTGAAATTTTGATTTGCACCCTCTAGCATGACCACCAGCCTACCCTGTAAATTTCATTAATTTTAAGCCAAGGGTTCAAAAGTTGACTCTCCTAGGGGGTGTGTCCCCTTAATGCAGATGGCTGGTTTTCTCCGGCGCCTTGTATTTTGACAAGCCTTACACAAAAAACATGTTTTTTTTTTTGACCGTCCGGTGGTTGTTTCTTTTTTTTGTGGAACATGGGGCAAAGGTATTAAAGGGACACTGACACCCCCCAAAATTGTTTTTTCATTTTTTGCCAGGCGCTTTATTATGGTGTCGGAGGACTACCCAATTAACATTTTGTCACAGAGTAGTTTATTTTTTTAATAAAGCCAAAAGACGCAACCGCTCAAAACCGAAACCGAAACCAGACGGAGATCGGAGAAGTGGAGAGAAGAGAGTGAGTGGCGGAAGTCACGTGGCTACACCCGACCGTGCGTTTTTTTTTCTCCTCTCCGTAGCAGACGACACGACATGCGGCGTACGGGAACTGT